GGTGCATCAATAAGGGGGGATCAATGGGGCGGGGGGGAGCATCAATGGGGGGGGAATCAATGGGGGGATCAATGGGGGTATGGGGTGGGGGAGGTGGAGGTGAGGAAGTGGGGAGTGATGGGGGGCATGGATGGGGGGATCAATGGGGCGGGGGGGAGCATCAATGGGGGGGGAATCAATGGGGGGATCAATGGGGGGGTCAATGGGGGTATCAATGGGGCATGGGGGGGCGTCAATGGGGGGGTCAATGGGGTGCATCAATAAGGGGGGATCAATGGGGCGGGGGGGAGCATCAATGGGGGGGAATCAATGGGGGGATCAATGGGGGGGTCAATGGGGTGCATCAATAAGGGGGGATCAATGGGGCAGGGGGGGGCATTAATGGGGGGGTCAATGGGGGTATCAATGGGGGGGCGTCAGTGGGGAAGCAGCAATGGGGGGGCATCATTGGGGGATATCAATGGGGGGGCATCAATGTGGGGGGCATCAATGGGGGGGCATCAATGGGGGGATCAATGGGGGGTCAATGGGGGGCATCAATGAGGGATCAATTGGGGGGCATCAATGGGGGTCATCAATGGGGGATCAATTGAGGGGCATCAGTGGGGGGACATCAATGGGGAAGCATCAATGTGGGGACATCAATTGGGGGGCATCAATGGGGGGGTATCAATAGGAAGATATCAATGGGGGCATTAATGGGGGATCAATGGAGGGGTATCAGTGGGGGGGTATCAATGGGGGATCAATGGGGGGTCAATGGGGGGTATCAATTGGGGGCATCAATGGGGGAGCATCAATGGGGGGATCAATGAGGGTATCAATGGGGAAGCATCAATGGGGGGGGCATCAATGGGGGGATCAATGGGGGTATCAATGGGGGGCATCAATGGGGGGGCATCAATGGGGGGCATCAATGGGGGGTTAATGGGGGAATCAATGAATGGGGTGGATGGGGATCAATGGGGGGCATCAATGGGGGGCATCAATGGGGGGGATCAATGGGGGGCACATAAAGGATGTGGGTCCAATTGGGGGGGTGGGCACTAGGACCCAGAGGCTGTTATGGGCGTCCCCATTCACTTCAATGGGGGTCCCATATAGGGGGGGGTCCCCATTCACTTCAATGGGGGTCCCAAAAGGGGGGGTCCCCATTCACTTCAATGGGGGTCCCATGGGTGGGGGGTCCCCATTCACTTCAATGGAGGTTCCCATATGGGGGGGGTCCCCATTCACTTCAATGGAGGTCCCATATGGGGTGGTCCCCATTCACTTCAATGGGGGTCCCTTCCCCCCCCCCATCCAATTCCCTACCAGGAAAACCCCAAAAAGCCCCAAACTTGGCTTTTTTCCACCCAAATCAGGGTCATGGAGGGGGAGGGGAGGGAGGGGTGGGGGGAGGGGTGGATCCTTCCTGGAATGTCAATGGAAAAGGGGGGGCCGGGGGGGTATAAATGGAAGGGGAAGAGCCAGGACCCCCCCATAGGAAGGATGAAGGCACCCGGAGTCCTCCTCCTCCTCCTCCTGCTCTTCCTTATGGATGGGAATGGCCATGGGGTGAGCAATGGATGGGATATGGGGGGGGCACCCCATAAGTTGGGGGGGGGCACCCCCAAAGTCATCTCTTTACCCCCCTTTATTTTTCCCCATAGGCTGTGCTGAAAGATGGGGCCGAGGTGATGGGGACCCCCCCAAGTCAATGGGGGGGACCCCAAAGGCAAGGGGGGAACCCCACACATGGGGGGGACACCCCCAAAAGGCAATGGGGAGATGGACAGGTGAGTCTATAGGGATCCATATAAGGGATGTGGGGGTGCATAGGGACCCATAGAAGGGATGTGGGGGTCCATAGGGATAAGGGGGGGACCCATATAAGGGATGTGGGGGTCTATAGGGATAAGGGGGGGACCCATATAAGGGATATGGGGGTGCATAGGGACCCATATAAGGGATGTGGGGGCCCATAGGGATAAGGGGGGGACCCATATAAGGGATGTGGGGGTCCATAGGGATAAGGGGGGGACCCATATAAGGGATGGGGGGGCCCATAGGGATAAGGGGGGCACCCATATAAGGGATGGGGGGGGTGCATAGGGACCCATATAAGGGATGTGGGAGTCTATGGGGGTAAGGGGGGACCCATATAAGGGATATGGGGGTGCATAGGAACCCATATAAGGGATGTGGGGGCCCATAGGGATAAGGGGGGGGACCCATATAAGGGATGTGGGGGTGCATAGGGACCCATATAAGGGATGTGGGGGTCTATAGGGATAAGGGGGGGACCCATATAAGGGATGTGGGGGTCCATAGGGACCCATCTAAGGGATGTGGGGGGGTCCATAGGGATAAAGGGGGGTCCATAGGGATAAGGGGGGACCCAACCCCCCTTTAACCCCATTGGCTCCCCGCAGCCCCCCCGGATCCGACGTCACAGCTCCCACTTCCCGCTCTGCTCCTATTGCTGCAACTGCTGCCGGAACCGGGGCTGCGGCCTCTGCTGCCGGACCTGACCCCCCCAGACCCATGGGGACCCCAAAATCGAGTCTGGGACCCCAGAAAACCCGCATGGGGACCCCAAAATCGGGTCCGGGACCCCCGAAAACCCCCATGGGGACCCCGAAATCGGGTCCGGGACCCCCGAAAACCCCCATGGGGACCCCAAAATCGGGTCCGGGACCCCCGAAAACCCCCATGGGGACCCCAAAATCGGGTCCCGGACCCCCGAAAACCCCCATGGGGACCCCAAAATCGGGTTCGGGACCCCCGAAAACCCCCATGGGGACCCCAAAATCGGGTTCGGGACCCTCAAAAACCCCCATGGGGACCCCAAAATCATCAATGGGGACCCCAGAATCATCAATGGGGACCCCAAAATCATCAATGGGACCCCAAAATCATCAATGGGGACCCCGAAATCGTCAATGGGGACCCCGAAATCATAAATGGAACACCAAAATCATCATTGGGGACCCCAAAATCATCAATGGGGACCCCAAAAACATCTATGGGGACCCCAAAATCATCAATGGGGACCCCAAAATCATCAATGGGGACCCCCAAAACATCAATGTGGACCCCAAAATCATCAATGGGGACCCCCAACCCCCCCATAGGACCCCAAATCTCCCCCCTGAGCACCCCAAAATCACCCCCCAACACCCCCCCCGCCCCCTATTTATTGCCCTCCCCCTCCATGTGTTGGGATAATGGGAATAAACTGGTGTTTTCTAATGGCTTGTGATGGATTCTGGGGGTATGGGGGGGAGGGGGCACCCATAGGGGTCTATGGGGCACCTATAGGGTCTATGGGGCACCCATAGGGCAGCCATGGGGCACCCATGGAGCAGTTATGGGGCACACATAGGGCACCCATAGGGCAGCCATAGGGCAGTTATAGGGCACCCATAGGGTCCATAGGGCACCCATAGGGTATATAGGACACCTATAGGGTCCATAGGACACTCATAGTGTCTATAGGACACCTACAGGGTCTATAGGGCATCCATAGTGTCCATAAGGCACCCATAGGGTCTATAGGGCACCCATAGGGTCTATGGGGCACCCATAGGGTCCATAGAGCATCCATAGGGTCTATGGAGCACCCATAGGGTCCATAGGGCACCCATAGGGTCCATAGGGCACCCATAGGGTCCATAGGGCACCCATAGGGTCCATAGAGCACCCATAGTGTCCATAGGGCACCCATAAGCCCCATAGGGCACCCATAGGATCCATAGGGCTAGGGTAAGCTCACCCTCCTCACCACGTGACCTACGGTAGCCACGCCCCCCCGCTGCGATCAATGGAAGGGGGACGTGGGAAAGGCGCGCCTTGAAGGGAGAGGGGCGTGGCTTAGAGGGGAAGGGGCGTGGTCTAGGCCGGAGGGGGCGTGGCCTGGGCGCGATGGCGCCGCTGAAGGTGCTGGTCGGGGTGAAGCGGGTCATCGACTTCGCCGTCAAGGTACCCGCGCCCCATAGGGACCCTATGGGCCTCTATGGGGCTATGGGGTCCCTATGGGGCCTATGGGGGCCCTATGGGGCCTGTGGGGTCCTATAGAGCCTATGGGTGCCCTTTAACCCTATGGGTGCTCTTTAACCCCTATGAGTCCCTTCCAGCCCCATTGAGTCCTCCAAAACCCCCATTGCCCCCCCATACCCCCCATTACCCCCCATTACCCCCCATCCCCCCTGTACCCCCATTGCCCCCCATTATCCCCTATGGCCCCATTTACCCCCCATAGCGCTATTACCCCCTGTACCCCCTATACCCCTCTATCCCCCCTATACCCCCCATACCCCCTATACCCCCTATTGCCCCTATCCCCCCCATACCCCCATTACCCCCTATACCCCCATTACCCCCCATAGCCCCTATCCCCCCTATACCCCCTACAGCCTCTATAGACCCCTATACCCCCCTGTCCCCCCATAGCCCCCCCATACCCCCTATACCCCCTATTCTCCCTATCCCCCCTATAACCCCATTATACCCATTACCCCCTCTACCCCCTATATCCCCTATCCCACCTATACCCCCATTACCCCTCATTATCCCCTATGGCCCCATTACCCCTCTGCCCCCCTATACCCCCCTCTACCCCCAATCTCCTTTACCCCCCCATATCCCCATACCCCCTATACCCCCCTATGCCCCTATCCTCCCTATGCCCCCATTACTCCCCATTATCCCCTATAGCCCCATTACCCCCATACCCCCCATACCCCCATGACCCCCATTACCCCCATTCCCCCCATTACCCCCATTCCCCCATTCCCCCCATTCCCCCCATTACCCCCCATTACCCGCCATTACCCCCATTCCCCCCATTACCCCCATTCCCCCATTCCCCCCATTACCCCCATTCCCCCCATTACCCCCCATTACCCCCATTACCCCCATTCCCCCCATTACCCCCCATAGGTCCGGGTGGCCCCGGGGGGTCACAAGGTTCAGGATCAGGGGGTCAAGCACTCCCTGAACCCCTTCTGTGAGATCGCCCTGGAGGAGGCCGTGCGCCTGCGGGAGCGGGGTCAGGCCAACGAGGTCATCGCCGCCAGCGTGGGCACGCGCCAGAGCCAGGTCTGCCCCATAGCGACCCATAGCGACCCATAGCGACCCATAGCGACCCATAGCGACCCATAGTGACCCATATCGACCCATAGCCTGCCCCATAGCGCGCCCCATAGCGCCCCATAACCTTTGCCCCTCCAACTACAACCCCTCCCAGCCCCATTGTCCCCTATAGGCGGCGCTGTCCCCATTGACTCCTATGGGCAGGAGCTATTTCCATTGACCCCTATAGGCGGCGCTGTCCCATTGCTCCCTATGGGGGCGCTATTCCATTGCTCCCTATGGGCGGGCGCTATTCCAATTGTCCCCTATAGGCGACGCTGTCGCATTGCTCCCTATGGGGGCGCTATTCCATTGTTCCCTAAGGGCGGGCGCTATTCCCATTGTCCCCTATAGACGGCGCTGTCCCATTGCTTCCTATGGAGGCGCTGTCCCCATTGTCCCCATAGGCGGCGCTGTCCCCATTGACTCCTATGGGCGGGCGCTATTCCCATTGTCCCCTATAGGCGGCGCTGTCCCATTGCTTCCTATGGAGGCGCTGTCCCATTGCTCCCTATGGGGGCGCTATTCCATTGTTCCCTAAGGGCGGGCGCTATTCCCATTGTCCCCTATAAACGGCGCTGTCCCATTGCTTCCTATGGAGGCGCTGTCCCATTGCTCCCTATGGCGGCGCTGTCCCCATTGTCCCCTGTAGACTGCGTTGTCCTATTGCTTCCTATGGAGGCGCTGTCTCCATTGTCCCCATAGGCGGCGCTGTCCCCATTGACTCCTATGGACAGGCGCTATTCCTATCGTCCCCGATAGGCGGCGCTGTCCCCATTGCTCCCTATGGACGAGCGCTATTCCCATTGTCCCCTATAGACGGCGCTGCCCCATTGCTTCCTATGGAGGCGCTGTCCCCATTGTCCCCTATAGGCGACGCTGTCCCATTGCTCCCTATGGCGGCGCTGTCCCCATTGCTCCCTATGGGCGGGCGCTATTCCCATTGTCCCCTGTAGACGGCGCTGTCCCATTGCTTCCTATGGAGGCGCTGTCTCCATTGTCCCCATAGGCGGCGCTGTCCCCATTGACTCCTATGGGCAGGCGCTATTCCCATTGTCCCCTATAGGCGGCGCTGTCCCTATTGACTCCTATGGACGGGTGCTATTCCCATTGTCCCCTATAGACGGCGCTGTCCCATTGCTTCCTATGGAGGCCCTGTCCCCATTGTCCCCTATAAGCGACGCTGTCCCATTGCTCCCTATGGGGGCGCTGTCCCCATTGACTCCTATGGACGGGCGCTATTCCTATTGTCCCCGATAGGCGGCGCTGTCCCATTGTCTCCTATAGGCGGCGCTATTCCCATTGCTCCCTATGGGGGCGCTGTCCCCATTGCTCCCTATGGGGGCCCTGTCCCCATTGACTCCTATGGGCGGTCGCTATTCCCATTGTCCCCTATAGGCGGCGCTGTCCCTTTGCTTCCTATGGAGGCGCTATTCCATTGTTCCCTATGAGCAGGAGCTATTCCCATTGTCCCCTATAGGCGGCGCTGTCCCATTGCTTCCTATGGAGGCGCTGTCCCATTGCTCCCTATGGGGGCGCTATTCCATTGCTCCCTATGGGCGGGCGCTATTCCCATTGTCCCCTATAGGCGGCGCTGTCCCATTGCGTCCTATGGAGGCGCTATTCCATTGTTCCCTATGGGCGGGCGCTATTTCCATTGTCCCCTAAAGGCGGCGCTGTCCCATTGCTTCCTGTGGAGGCGCTGTCCCACTGCTCCCTATGGGGGCACTGTTCCCATTGACTCCTATGGGCAGGCGCTATTCCCATTGTCCCCTATAGGCGGCGCTGTCCCATTGCTCCCTATGGGCGGGCGCTATTCCCGTTCTCCCCTATAGGCGGCGCTGTCTCATTGCTCCCTATGGGGGCGCTGTCCCCATTGACTCCTATGGGCAGGCGCTATTCCTATTGTCCCCGATAGGCGGCGCTGTCCCATTGCTCCCTATGAGCGGCGCTGTCCCCATTGACTCCTATGGGCAGGCGCTATTCCTATTGTCCCCGATAGGCGGCGCTGTCCCATTGTCTCCTATAGGCGGCGCTATTCCCATTGCTCCCTATGGGGGCGCTGTCCCCATTGCTCCCTATGGGCGGGAGCTATTCCCATTGCCCCCTATAGGCGGCGCTGTCCCATTGTCTCCTATGGGGGTGCTATTCCATTGTTCCCTATGGGCAGGCGCTATTCCCATTGTCCCCTATAGGCGGCGCTGTCCCATTGCTTCCTATGGAGGCGCTGTCTCCATTGTCCCCATAGGCGGCGCTGTCCCCATTGACGCCTATGGACAGGCGCTATTCCTATTGTCTCCGATAGGCGGCGCTGTCCCATTGCTTCCTATGGAGGCGCTGTCCCATTGCTCCCTATGGGGGCACTGTCCCCATTGACTTCTATGGATGCTCAGTCCCCATTGACTCCCATTGACTCCCATTGCCCCCCATTGACTCCCATTGACTTCCATTGACTCCCATTGACTCCCATTGACCCCCATTGCCCCCCATTGACTCCCATTGACTCCCATTGAGCCCCATTACCCCCCCTACAGGACGCTCTCCGCACTGCACTCGCTGTCGGTGCCGACCGGGCCGTGCTCGTGGAGGTCCCCGAGGGGGCGGAGCCTCCGGGCCCCCGCCAGGTGGCGCTGGCGCTCGCGAAGCTCGTGGAGAGAGAGCGCCCCCTGCTGGTGATGCTGGGGAAGCAGGTGAGGGGGGGGCCCATAGGGACACATAGGGACCCATAGAGACCCATAGAGACCCATAGAGACACATAGAGACCCATAGAGACCCCATAGAGACACATAGAGACCCATAGAGACCCATAGAGACCCCATAGAGACACATAGAGACCCATAGAGACACATAGAGACCCCATAGAGACCGCATAGAGACCCATAGAGACCTATAGAGACCCATAGAGACACATAGAGACCCCATAGAGACCCCATAGAGACCCATAGAGACGCATAGAGACCCATAGAAACCCATAGAGACCCCATAGAGACCCCATAGAGACCCATAGAGACCCCATAGAGACCCATAGAGACCCCATAGAGACCCATAGAGACCCATAGAGACCCATAGAGACACATAGAGACCCCATAGAGACCCCATAGAGACCCATAGAGACCCATAGAGACCCCATAGAGACCCCATAGAGACCCATTGGGACCCATAGACACCCATAGTGACCCTATAGAGACCCCATAGAGACCCATAGAGACCCATAGAGACCCCATAGAGACCCCATGGGGGGGGTTCAATGTCCCCTATAGAGCTTTATGGGGGGGGGGGTGTGTCTGTGTCCCCTATAGGGCTCTATGGGGCGCCCCATGGCCCCTATAGCCCCTATGGGTGCCTCTCCCCTCCCCCCCCAGGCCATAGACGATGACTGCAACCAGACGGGACAGATCCTCGCCGCCATCTTGGATTGGCCACAGGTGCCCCTCCCCCCCCTTCCTCCCATCCCCTCCCCCCTTCCCCCCACCAACGTAGGGCATTGTGGGATAGAGGGGGAAGAGGGGGGGAGGGGACCACACTGGTCCCATTCATCCCATACTGGGATGCTCCCATCCCCATCCCCATCCCCATCCCCATCCCATCCCATCCCCATCCCATCCCATCATCCCATTGGTCCATCCCATCTCCATCCCATCATCCCATTGGTCCATCCCATCCCCATCCCATCATCCCATTGGTCCATCCCATCCCCATCCCATCATCCCATTGGTCCACCCCATCCCATCCCCATCCCCATCCCATCATCTCATTGGTCCATCGCATCCCCATCTCATCATCCCATTGGTCCATCCCATCCCCATCTCATCATCCCATTGGTCCATCCCATCTCCATCCCATCATCCCATTGGTCCACCCCATCCCATCCCCATCCCCATCCCATCCCCATCCTATCATCTCATTGGTCCATCCCATCCCCATCTCATCATCCCATTGGTCCATCCCATCCCCATCTCATCATCCCATTGGTCCATCCCATCCCCATCCCATCATCCCATTGGTCCATCCCATCCCCATCCCATCCCATCATCCCATTGGTCCATCCCATCCCCATCCCATCATCTCATTGGTCCATCCCATCCCATTCCCATCCCCATCCCATCATCCCATTGGTCCATCCCATCTCCATCCCATCATCCCATTGGTCCATCCCATCCCATGCCCCTCCCCCCTAGGGTACCTTCCTGTCCCAGCTGGACCTGGATCCCGGTTCCGGTTCCGGTTCCGGTTCCGGTTCCATCCGGATCCAGCGGGAAGTGGACGGGGGCCTGGAGCGGCTCCGGCTCCGCCTCCCGGCCCTGCTCACGGCCGACCTGCGCCTGAACCAGCCCCGCTACGCGACCCTGCCCAACATCATGGTGGGTACCCAGAGACATAGACCCCTATGGGGATACCCCATAGAGAGACCCCATAGAGAGAGCCTATAGAGGGACCCTATAGAGAGACCCCATAGAGAGAGCCTATAGGGACACCCCATAGAGAGACACCATAGAGAGAGCCTATAGAGAGAGCTATAGAGACTCAGCCCCGCTACGCGACCCTGCCCAACATCATGGTGGGTACCCAGAGACATAGACCCCTATGGGGATACCCTATAGGGATACCCAATAGAGAGACCCCATAGAGAGACACCATAGAGAGACCCTATAGGGATACCCCATAGAGAGACCCCATAGAGAGACACCATAGAGAGACCCCATAGAGAGACACCATAGAGAGACCCCATAGAGAGAGCCTATAGAGAGAGCCTATAGAGATAGCTATAGAGACTCAGCCCCGCTACGCGACCCTGCCCAACATCATGGTGGGTACCCAGAGACATAGACCCCTATGGGGATACCCCATAGAGAGACCCCATAGAGAGACCCCATAGAGAGACCCTATAGAGAGAGCCTATAGAGATAGCTATAGAGACTCAACCAGCCCCGCTACGCGACCCTGCCCAACATCATGGTGGGTACCCAGAGACATAGACCCCTATGGGGATACCCTATAGGGATACCCAATAGAGAGACCCCATAGAGGGACCCCATAGAGAGAGCCTATAGAGATAGCTATAGAGACTCAGCCCCGCTACGCGACCCTGCCCAACATCATGGTGGGTACCCAGAGACATAGACCCCTATGGGGATACCCTATAGGGATACCCAATAGAGAGACCCCATAGAGAGACCCTATAGAGAGACCCCATAGAGAGACCCCATAGAGAGACCCCATAGAGAGACCCTATAGGGATACCCCATAGAGAGACCCCATAGAGAGACCCCATAGAGAGAGCCTATAGAGATAGCTATAGAGACTCAACCAGCCCCGCTACGCGACCCTGCCCAACATCATGGTGGGTACCCAGAGACATAGACCCCTATGGGGATACCCCATAGAGAGACCCTATAGAGAGAGCTATAGAGACTCAGCCCCGCTACGCGACCCTGCCCAACATCATGGTGGGTACCCAGAGACATAGACCCCTATGGGGATACCCCATAGAGAGACCCCATAGAGAGACACCATAGAGAGACACCATAGAGAGAGCCTATAGAGAGAGCCTATAGAGATAGCTATAGAGACTCAGCCCCGCTACACGACCCTGCCCAACATCATGGTGGGTACCCATAGAGAGACCCTATAGAGGGACCCTATAGAGAGACACCATAGAGAGACCCCATAGAGAGACCCCATAGAGAGAGCCTATAGAGAGAGCTATAGAGACTCAACCAGCCCCGCTACGCGACCCTGCCCAACATCATGGTGGGTACCCAGAGACATAGACCCCTATGGGGATACCCTATAGGGATACCCAATAGAGAGACCCCATAGAGAGACCCCATAGAGAGACCCCATAGAGAGACCCCATGGAGAGACCCCATGGAGAGACCCCCATGGAGAGACCCCATAGAGAGAGCCTATAGAGGGACCCTATGGGGATACCCTATAGGGAGACCCTATACAGAGACCCTATGGGGAGACCCTATAGAGAGACCCTATGGAGATACTCTACAGAGATACTCTATAGAGGTACCCTATAGGGATACCCTATAGAGACATCCTATAGAGGCATCTTATAGAGGCACCCTATAGACACCTATAGAAATAGCCTATACAGATATCCTATAGGGACCTATAGAGACACCCTATAGAGATACCCTATAGAGACACCCTATAGAGATACCCTATAGAGACACCCTATAGAGACACCCTATAGAGACACCCTATAGAGATACCCTATAGAGACACCCTATAGAGATACCCATAGGCACACCTATAGAGACTCAACCACCCCCTCTGCACCACCATGCCCTACATCCCGATACCCATAGGGACCCCCTATAGGAACCCCATAGACCCCATAACCCCCATAGCCCCATAGACCCCCATAACCCCCATAGCCCCATAGACCCCATAGCGCCCCATAGCGCCCCATATCCCCCCATAGCACCCCATATCTCCCCCATATCCCCCTATAGAAAGCCAAGAAGAAGCCTCTGGAGCTGCTGCCATTGGAGAAGCTTTTGGGGGGCCCCCCCCCCGCCTCCCGCCTGCGGGTGCTGCGCCTGGAGGAACCTCCCGTCCGCCAGGGGGCGCAGCGCGTCGAGAGCGTGGCCGAGCTGGTCGAGCGCCTCGCTGCCGCCGGCCGCCTTTGAAGGGGCGCCGACAGCCAATGGGGAGGCGGCGCGGGGGGGATGACGTCATCGCGCGGGAAAGGCGCGCGCGCCCTGTGTGGAGCGGGGGTATAAAGAGGTGAATGAGGAGGAGGCTGGTTTGGAGCAGTATGGACCAGTATGGACCAGTATGGACCCCATTGGGTCCCAGTTTGACACCATTGGGTCCCAATATGGATCAGTATGGACCCATTGGGTCCCAGTTTGGCCCCATTGATTCCCACTGTGGACCAGTATGGACCCATTTGGTCCCAGTATGGACCAGTATGGACACATTGGGTCCCAGTTTGACCCCATTGGGTCCCAGTATGGACCAGTATGGACACATTGGGTCCCAGTTTAACCCCATTGGGTCTGAGTATCGACCAGTATGGACCCATTGGGTCCCAGTTTAACGCCATTGGGTTCCTGTATGGACCAGTATGGACACATTGGGCCCCAGTTTGACCCCCTTGGGTCACAGTATGGACCCATTGGGTCCCAGTTTAACCCCATTGGGTCCCAGTATGGGCCAGTGTGGACCAATTGGGTCCCAGTTTAACCCCACTGGGTCTGAGTATGGATCAGTAGGGACCCATTGGGTCCCAGTTTGACCCATTTGGTCCCAGTATGGACCAGTATGGACACATTGGGTCCCAGTTTGACCCCATTGGGTCCCAGTAAGGAGCAGTATGGACCCCATTGCGTCCCAGTTTGGCCCCATTGGTTCCCAGTATGTACCAGTATGGACCCCATTGGGTCCCGGTTTAACGCCATTGGGTCCCAGTATGGAACAGTATGGACCCATGGTGTCCCATTTTCCCCCATTGGGTCACGGTATGGACCAGTATGGACCCATTGGGTCCTAGTTTGACCACATTGGGTCCAAGTTTAACCCCATTGGGTCCCAGTATGGACCAGTTTGACCCCTTTGTGTCCCCATTTTGCCCCCATTGGGTCCCAGTATGGACCAGTATGGAGCAGCATGGACCAGTATGGCCCCATTGGGTCCCAGTTTGACCTCATTGGGTCCCAGCTTAACCCCATTCGGTCCCAGTTTAACCCCATTGGGTCCCAGTTTCAGCCCATCAGCCCCATCGGCGGCCCCGTTGCCAGGCAACGCCCTGGCCCCGCCCCTCCCGCCGTCCATCATCCCCTCCAGCCAATCAGACGCCGAGCCGGTGGGCGCGGCTACGCAGGCCGCAGGGGGGCGTGTCTCCCAGCGGGAGCCCGGCCTCCTCCCCCGCTCCGCCCAATCAGAACCGCGCGGGGGCGGGCTTTAGGGCAGCGCCGACCAATGAGCGTCCGGCAGACCCTGCAGGAGCGGGGCGGGCGGCCCCGTGCGGGCCTTCAGAGCCGGGGCGGCGGCGGCGACGGCGGCGGCAGAGGAAGACAAGATGGCGGCGGCGGACGGAGACGATTCGCTTTACCCCATCGCGGTGCTCATCGACGAGCTCCGCAACGAGGACGTGCAGGTACCGGGCCCGGGGCCCCGGGGGCTCGGCTCCGGTTTGGCCCCGGTGCGGCCGCCATCATCGTCGTCCCCTTGTCCGGTTCTATGGCTTATAATGGCGGCCGCGGGTGCTCCGCGATGGAAGGGGCGCTGTGATTGGTTGAGGCAGTTTGCCCCCCTCAGGCGCTGGCTAATGGGGAGCGGTGTTATATGGCTGGGGGGATTGAGGGGGGGGCGCGCTCTTCATCATCCCCCTCGCTGCGGATGAGAAACTCGCTGTGATTGGGTGGCGCGGTTGGTTGAGGCTATGACGGGGCTTCTGATTGGTCCCGGGGCTGTCGAGGGAGCCGGCTCTACGCCGCCCCCTGTCGGAGGGGCGCTTCGCCGCGGCCCAATTGGAGGGGGTTTAGCGGGGGCCGCCGAGCCAATGGGAGGGCTCCTCTGTGCTGCCACGGCGCTGCGGAGCGGGGAGACGAGGCTCCTGATTGGCTGGATCGGGGAAGGGGTGGGGTTTCAGGCCCTGAAGGGGCCTGTATTTGCCCCACGGAGGGGCAAGAGCTCCCTTTGGGGTTCTCATTGCTACCCATAGGGCTGAGATTGCCCCCCAGAAGGGCTTTTAATTGCCCCGGGGGGGGGTTATCCCTCCCCATCCCCTTTAGATACCCTTTAGGTCATTTATTTCCCCCATAGACCCCCATTTTTCCCTTATACACCCCCATTTTCCCCCGTAGACCCCCGTTTCCCCCCCATTGACCCCCATTTCCGCCCTATAGACCCCCATTTCCCTCTTATAAACCCCCATTTCCCTCTTATACACCCCCATAGACCACGATTTCCCCCTTATAGATCCCCATTTCCCCCCTATAGACCCCCATTTCCCCCTTATAAACCCCCATTTCCCTCTTATACACCCCCATAGACCCCCATTTTCCCCCATAGACCCCCATTTCCCCCCATAGACCCCCATTTCCCCCCATAGACCCCCATTTCCCTCCATCTCCCACCTATAGACCCCCGTTTTCCTCCTATAGACCCCCATTTTCCTCCTATAGACCCCCATTTTCCTCCTATAGACCCCCATTTCCTCCCCATTTCCCCCCATAGGCCCCCATTTCCCCCCCATAGGCCCCCATTTCCCCCTATAGACCCCCATTTCCCCCTTATAAAACCCCATTTTCCTCCTATAGACCCCCATTTCTCCCTATAGACCCCATTTCTTCCCCATTTCCCCCCATAGACCCCCATTCCCCCCATAGACCCCCATTTCCCCCCCATAGACCCCCATTTGGCCCCCGTTACCCTCTATAGACCCCTATTTCCCCCTTTTAACCCCCCATTTCCCCCTATAAACCCCCATTTCCCTCTATAGACCCCCATTCCCCCCCATTTCCCCCTTATAGACCCCCATTTCCCCCTTATAGACCCCCATTTCCCCTTTATAGACCCCCATTTCCCCCTTATAGACCCCCATTTCCCCCCATTTCCCCCCATAAACCCCCATCTCCCCCATAAACCCCCTTCATACCCCCTTCAGACACTAAATACCCCCCCACCCCTTCCCATTTACCCCATAGGGGGGCAAATCCTCATCCCCCCCCCCTTTGTGCCCCATTGCAGCTCCGCTTGAACAGCATCAAGAAGCTCTCGACCATTGCCTTGGCCCTAGGGGTCGAACGCACCCGCAGCGAGCTCCTGT